AAAAGTTGTTCAGACCATGAACTCATTCTTTATGTTGCTTTAGTTGTTACCATAACATTTCAGCTAATCCATTTTCCAGCTATTTTCAAGTGTACACGGTGCAATGGATAAATTGTCATCTAAATTACACAAAAATGAAAATAACATCTCATTTTAACAGATATATTTACCAAAATTACACAAAAATATCTTGAAATACTAAAGAGTACATTTATTCAATAAAATCTTCATTGGCTTCATCCACAGCTTCAGAATCTCCTGCAACTCTTCTGGACATTCTCCTTGTTTAAGTTGGTGAATGATGCCATAATCCTTGCCTTCAAGTTCATTTTTGGTATTACAAGGAGTTTTGTTGATCTCTTGCTCAACTCCACCTTACATGTAATAATCAAGGGGGTTGCAGTCTGGAGAGTTATGTGACCAGAGTTAAGGGAGATGAGATTGCAGAAATTGTCTGATAGCCATAACTGGGTTCTCTTGCTTTTGTGTCATGATGCAGATTCCTGTTGCTAGACATAGGGTTTCCCAGCTCTTGACTCAGAGCTACACTACCTTGATGTAGGCCTCTGTGTTGAGTCTGGGGCCCTCACCAGCAAATTTGTGAGTTCTTTTCTCATCAGAATGATCAGAGTGAGTTTTCCAAGCTGCTGTACAATCATAATGATGATTAGGCTCTTCCAACTCTTTTTGAATCCTCTGCACTCTCTTCAGGTTGATACCAAAACACTCTGGAATGTTTGTATTTGAGCTTCTGACACAAATGCCAAGCAGTACAGCATGCTGTTTCCCAATTTCTGGCAGTGGTGCCCAATTGACCCTACTATAATGTGCAATGTGCAAAATTAAAAATATAAAATGGTGACAATTTATTCATTACATCGTATACATTTCTTTACTGATTGTAAACTTGAAAAAGACTTTCAAATGGGTCCATGAAAATGCAGTATATCAACAAAAGCAACACAAAGAATGAATTTCCTTGTCAAACAAAGCAACTAGATATTATGTAAGTTTGATATGTTTTTTAGTATATAAAATTATTTTAGTGGTTGTCTCACTATTGTAATCTTGTGCTAAATTTAGCTAATCTTATTAAATATATCTAATTCTGAAAGAACAGGCTTTGTGAAATGATCAAAATATTTACCATGACAACTAAAGCAATATTTGTTATTCTAAGACAAAGATGATATAATTTTCTGAATGTATAAGGTGTTTCCCAAAAGTTAGGTAGCTAAAGGTATAAACTGACCTCAGAAAAAAATAATAATAGAAAATAACTTTATTTCCAGATGGTGTGTATTTCAAGAGCTGTGTAGAATATTTGATAATAAGTGGGAGACACTGAAGAATTTAAGGCTCCCCCAAAGAAAAAAAATGCTACATATAAGTGTTCATTTTTTCCTGGTGGAAAGATTTCAAGAAATGTGCAGGTAGTATAACTGTCATAGAGCATGGAATTGGAAAGCTGAGTTTAAATTCCTACCTAATCTGTTAGGTTCACTTTCACACAAATGCTCTTGAAAAAGGAACGAATCCATCTCTTTTTCCATTTAGCTATGAGTTATCATCCTGGGTAAGACGATAAACTACATCCAACAGCAAAGCCTCTGATCAGAAGGTTTTGAGGAGCGTGGGACCCTCTTAATTGCTGATGTTCCTGGGTCCCAGACTCCCAGACTGGGGTCAAAACACTATGAAAGTCTAAATATAGGTTTTAATACATACCCGAAATAGTTTGGGGGGGGGGATTATTACCAGAAAAAAGATATTACCAACTATAGTTTATTTTGAAAGAAAATATTACTAGCAATAAAAAAAAATTGTTGCCATTAAATAACCCATTGAGGTTGATATGCCATAAAACAAAATAAACCAAACCAATCTAAACCAAAAAATACATATTCTGTTCATACGAATCTATCTTAAAAATCTTTTCAGTATTAAATAACCCATTGAGGTTGATATGTCGTAAACCAAACCAACCAACCAGCTATGAGTTAAATAGAAGAGTAGACTAGATTTCTGGTCTTGAGTGCTAGCCAATTTAGGAGAACAACAACTCTAGCCAGAAGTTCTATGCTAATAATTTCTTTTATCGCATTTCTTACTTGTGGAACTCTCTTCTGGCTTTTTTCTTCCCAGTCAACTTTGATCTTAACAAACGACATTGCATATCAATTCTTCCTGTTCTTTCATTTTTCTCTCTCCTTAATAGTGTTCTTTTTCTTTCCTTTTTTTTCTTTATATTTGCCTAACACTCAGTAACCCCTTGCATCTTAGTGGCTTTATTGCCTTGCTTGAGATTAAATGATTAAAAAAAAAAAAAAAAAAAAGCAAAAGCTCAACAGGAAACCACTACACTAACTTTCCCAAGAAGTCATGGCAATTCACAGAAATGAATGATTTCCCATGTCCTGAAGGGACATAGCATTAGAATACAATGTCCAGTGAGATAAAAGAAAAATATTGAGTAACTTAACAAATAGCTTAATCATAATTCTTAATATGGTGATTGAATAAGCTCTGTGTGAGTTCCACAACTAAAAAAATACCTGTGGAAATTCCTCTGTTGCATTGTTAAATATTTATTGATTTGTTTTCTATGACTTATCAAACTTTTGCTCGTTATTTAAAGCCAGGAAATATTTTTAGACTGTAAGAATTGTTTAGGAGCTAATAATGATTTACTGATACAAGTCCTGCTAATTAACCCATAGCTTGGGGGAAGAGCTGATTCACACTTTTCCCAAGAGTATTTGTGTATAACTGACTGGAATTGGAACTCTGCTCTCCGATTTTTCAATTTTGAACTGTTATCTATTACACCACCTGCACATCCCTGCTTACAGCAATTGGTATTCCCAAGCAATCAATCATCTAAGTACTGACCAGGCTCAATGTTGCTTAACTTCAGTGATCATACAAGAACCAGCATTTCAATGTGATCTGGCTTTAATCCTTTAAATATTTGAGTTTAAGAATTTTAACAAAATGTTGCAGTAATGATCATAAGTATAAATGCAGGTCATTTATTTAAAGAAATAGGTGGGTACAAATGAAAAAATTAAAAATGGACAAATTTTTCACTGAAACGAATGTTAAATGCACAAAAGCATTAACATCTCTATCTTCCTTTTCTTTTTATTAGGTATGCTTTCTTTTTCTCACTAAAACCAGTGTAACTGATATATTTTTCTTTTATCTTTCCTTGCAGTCAAAAGGAAATGGTTCGTTATTTATCTGAGGTAATGGCAGGGCTAAGAGCATATGCTAACTAACTTAAAGAGGAACAAGCAGAATTTATAATGTTGGTCAAATTTTCCTACCTTTTCTTTAACACTTCAGTGAGCATTCAGTATTCATTAAATTTACTTTGTTCTAAGCTTTTTACTTCTACTCTAGACTTAAACATGCCATGTCATCATGTTTTCAATTGCTATATGTAAGTCAGCGCATCATAAAGAAAACTGGACAAAGATTATATAAGCAGTGTATTTTGAGAAGTCAATCAGTTGTTTATAAAACAAGATAGAAGCATTGGTGTTGATAAAGTGAAATTCACTTAATCATTTTATTTTTGACAAAACGAACACGTTATACATCAACATTAAAGCAGGAAGTCAGAAAATAAATATTGCAGGAGGCATTGGTAACAACTGCTGCCAAGAAATGATACTTAAAGAAAAAAAAATTAAATTTGATAAACTGTGAATAATTTTTCATTTATCCTGACAGAATTGTCACTAAGACGGTATTAAAACTAACAAAAATGGTAAATTTACTGATTTGAGCATAAGTATTAGTTTTTGGTACAAGTCTGTTTACTTTAAAGGTTTCTTGCACTGTGCACTTTCAGCTATAGATTACAGAAAAGTGATAAAGTTAACCTCACTGAGGATCTGATGTGTAACAGAATAAATAAAGGTAAAGAACATATGAACTTAGGTTAATGAGTAATAAACATTCAGTAAGTAATTCTTTGTGTATCCCTATTTGCTTGTTCAATTTTTTTTTTTTTTTTTTAAATCATTTCATATCAAGTAAGGTAATAATACCACTAAGATACGAAGGAAGAAGAAAGAACAGGATTCAGGAAAAGAGACGATGGCGATTGAAATTGCATTTAAATTTTGTAGAACGTAGGAGGAACGGTGGAGTAATGGATAGCAGCTCTGATTGAGGAATTGGAGAACTGAGTTCGAATTCCAGTTGAATCCATTACATTTACTTATGTGCTAATACCCTTAGGAAAGGTATGAATCCTCTTCTTCTCCTCACCAGCTATGGGTAAATAGCAGGTCAGAACGAGTTGTATAATCTTGAATGGCAACTGGTCTACCGCAGAAAGAAATGGCAACCTACTGCAGGGGGAAAAAATCTGCTTTGTCAGTCATGTATTGAAAGATACATGATTGCCTGAGCGTGTATCGTGCATGGCACATAGCTGACTGACTGAGAATGTAGATAGCAGTGAAGCAAGAAACCAGAAGTGTTCAACAGGCAAGAAGTGCGAGAAAAGAAACTATTAGAATAAAACTTATGGTTACATCTAGCTATTTCAACCATAAAACCTAATTGTCAATCTAGTAGTATGCTTTCATTGGGGGGAAAGTCATTTTCAGGTTCAATCTCTAATCACTCCATTCATCTAACTCCAGGTAGGTCTTGTGAGCTGTCAGTTCAGGAGCTCCTCCACATATTGAGGTCTTCTGTTAGTATAAATAGTGATATTGCATCCATCACTGGCTTGCTAGGCCTGTTGTGTAGCTTAAAGTTGCAGGTATTCCCCAGTGCTCACTCATCTGATTACTGACCAGACAATGTTGCTGAACTTCAGTGATCAGACAAGAACTCCTGTTTAAATGTGATATGGCTGTTAGCTCAATGCCTGGTGTAAATTGTTTTTATTTTATTTATTCATTTGTTTTTGTATTAAATTTTATACTGTAAAAGTTTTTTTTTTTTTTTTTTTCCAGCTGGTGAAACAATGCTCCCATATGATTGAAACAGGAAAATCATTCAACAATGCAAGCAAGTAAGTAAAAGATAATTTATATCTGAATTTGTTTTTAACTAATAAATGCTGGTTTCTTCTAAAGTTTACTTCAACTCTATACTGTTGCTACTTACTCTGAAATTTTATTTACTATTTATTTTTTTCTTCAATAGGAGTAGATAAGTTTTATCACCCCAGTTTACACTTCACCCTGCTCTTTTGGACAGGTGTACAGGTTTATCCCTGATTTCCTGTTTAGGATTGAGTTTCTGGTTCCTTCTGAAGTCTCTTCATTCTTTCACTCTGAGTACCTCCTTGCGTCTTAGTGGCACTATTGCCTTGCTTGGTTGAATTGATTTAAAAAAAAAAAAATGTTAAGCCTGGTGTATTATTTTAAATTATTTTCATTTAAAGGTAGATCAATAAGTCTGTAGCTTAACAAGTAGTTAGTGTCCATACTAATGACACAACTATTTACTTCTGTCTTAATGGTAAGTCTGATAGTTTTTATAAGGTTCAATTGGCAGCTTATGACCTTCAATCTGTTAATTGGGACAAGAAATAGCTTGTTAATTTGAACTCCTCAAAAATGAAACTGCTCTCTTTTAATCATCTTAGAGAACTTTTTTTTTTTTTTTGGTGGGGGTTTTCTATCACTGGGATTGATCCAGTACAATGTCTTTTCTCTACTTTAAAAGTTCCATGCAGTTATAATTGAGTTTCGCAAGGGTCAGAATTGACTTAAGGTGACATCTATTATATATATATATATATATATATATATATATATATATATATATATAGAATAAAATGACAAAAGGAAAACTTTTCTTTATTGATGCATTTTTTGTTTGATGACTTTATCAAGTCAAATGAAATGATTTTATTTTGTGACAAGTATTTATAAAGAGAAATAAAAAACATTGTTAGGTTTTCAAAATTTTAAAATTTAAGAACACTCAAGAATGTTAACTGTTTCAGTCAAGGTAAACTATGGAAGATACTAAGTGATATAAAGGTAGACAAAATAATGCAGACATTTTGTTAAATAGAAGTTTTATTTAATATACAGTTGGTCCACATTATCACAGCTTTAATACATCAAGCATGGATTGATTGGTTTATTTTTTACGGTTTATCAACTTGCAGGTTATTTAAAGCCAGAAGATATTTCTAGATTCTAAGAATTTTTGGGAGTTAATAATGATGTCCTACTACTTAACCCTTAACTGGGAGAAGAGTCTTGAAAATTGTTATAACTCATTCCTAGTGGTTATAATTTTATGTCTCGCTTAGGCTACTCGTGATATCATTAGAAATTCTCCTCGACTGACTCCAAATGAACTTCTTTTGCCTCACTTTGAGTTTTTTATTTAAGTTGTCTTGCCTAGCTCATTTGTGTTACCAGTGATGTCTTATTTACTCCACAACATTCCCCCTTTGAGATTTTTTTTTTTTTCCCCCCACTAGTAAATATTTTATTAGTATTCTACCCCTCCTCTTTCTGGAGAGTTTATCATCTACTGAACTTTTTCTTTCATTTTGGGTCAAACTGTAGTTTTTCTGTACATTTCCTTTTTCTGGTAATCTACTTGTACATTCAACGAATTTTGGGGGTGTTAGTACACCAAAAGTATCATAGAATACTTACATTGGTTCTTCCTTTCCTGTGCGCATTTCTTCAGAAAAAAATGGGAACACAAAAAGCATTGGAATCAGTTAAAAAATGGTAAACCATCTTTTTACAGATTCCAATGCTTTTTGTGTTTCCATTTTTTTCCTTTCACCATATCTGTCATTTTTTCCAATTTGTAACTTTACTACACTGTCTTCCCACATTTCTTTTCCATTTTTATATACTCTGAAAAACACTTTTTAGCCAATTTTGAAAAATTTTATGTTCATTTTGTTATCCATTCTGATTCTTTTTTGACCAGGTAATATGTTGAACAGCGATTTAATTTTTCTTGCAAACATCAATTCTGCCAGTGTATTGGGATTTGGCATTATTTGCTATACTCTCAAGAATTTTTGTAGTGCTTCTTTGCTTGCTTTTTTAAAGGCTCTCTTAAAAGTGCCCATAAGCAGTTCAGCTTGTCCATTTGATCTTGGGTAATACAACGGGGTAGTAATATATTCAATCAAGAATATTTTACAAAATTCTTTAAATTCGTAAGCAGTGAATTCTCTACGATTATCCAAGACGATGGCCTCTTGAATGCCATGTCTTTCAAACAGTTTGTTTGAAAAAATTCACTGTAACTGTGCAAGTCGTTTTTTTTTTTTGCACTTAGAAATTTAAGGCCACTTAATGACGCTATCCCCTACCACAAGATAATGTGATCCATTTATTGGACCTGTGAATAATAATGATGAGTCTTACATTAGTATTTTCTTGATTTCTTCAAAAGCCTTCTGACACTTATCCATCTAGTTCCACTTTACACCTCTTTTAAGCAAATTATTCAGCGGGTATCTCAAATTCTGCATATTAGGTATATAGATTTGCTAATAGTTTGCTAATCCTAGAAATTCTTGTAACCTAGTAACATTTGTTGGAGAAGGCATATTTTTAATTGCACTTGCCCTTGACAGATCTGGTTGGTGATCATTTTTGTCAATGTTCTGTCCCAGGTATTTGATTTTATGCAGAAACAATTTGCACTTTTCCTCATTGTGTTTGAACCTGAATTTTCATATTTTTTCAAAAGCTCTTTTCATATGCTGGATATGTTTTTCCTTAAATACACTCTTAATTAATATATCATCCAGATAAATAACTGCAGAATCACAATCTGCCAGCAGATTATCCATAGCTTGTTGAAATATAGATGGAGCCACTTTTTATCCCAATGGGAGGGCAGTTGAACTTACACAATCCCTTGTGTGTATTTGTTGTGATTAACTCTGAACATTCTTTTTCAACCTGTATCAAAAATATTTTTCCACCATTTAAATTTGTAAAAATTTCCTCTGGACTATGTAATGGGTAGTTATAGGATTCTAAACATTTGTTTAAACCTGTCTGGAGTGAAAGAGCTTATGGATGTTTTTTTTTGTTTTTTTTCTTCTGTTTTATTTCAATTAAATTCTGTTGTTTCTGGAGTTCCAACAACTTCTGTTGTTGGTGGTGTTGTATTTTTACTACTTGGGCTAATAATTCTTTCATATTTAAAGAATATCTGCTTTTTTTTTTTTTTTTTTTTTTTTTTTTTTTTTTTTTACACACCAAAGGAAAAATTAAGCTAACGTCATTCTAATTTTTTGTCGTCACTGTTATCATGTGCACCAAAGCAAAAAGTACTTTTTCCTACTCTATATGAGTTTCAATCCCTCATCACTACTGTTATAACTTGTTCCTAGCAATTATAATATTATGTCTCTCTTAGGCTACTTGCTGTGACATCTTTAGAAATTCCCCTTGACTGACTTCAATGGACTTCTCTTGCCTCACTTTAAATTCTTTATTTAAGGCATCTTGTCTAGCTCATTGGTGTTACTGGGGGTGTCTTATTTATTCCACAACAGAAATATATCAATTGACTTATACAAGTTCTTAGCAATTGTTAGGGAAATTTTGAACCATTTTTCAAGTAAAATCTGGTTTGGCTCTTTCAGTATTTTCAATAGCATTAGCCACATGAATTGGTGCATTATCTCAAAGATTACACAGTCATCAGAGAACAATGTTTGTACCATTGGATGGACATGATCAGCCAAAATACTCGGATAATCCTTGGCATTAAATCAAGAACAAAAGGCTCAGGAGAATTCTGTGATATGGTTCCCCATATCATCACAGTGACCTCTGTGCTTCACTTTAGGGGCCAAACAGTTATGGTCAAAGGCTTTCTTGGAATGTCTCAAGACATAAACTTGCTCTGAAGTTGTTGTGGGGATGACTGATAGTTCATCAGAGACAATGACCTTGCTTTATTGATCACTTCTCATAGTCTTGCCATCATTTTTTCCACTTACCAATGTTGATGTTATCACAACAGTTTTGGTTGAAACAGGGTTGGCTAGTTGGTAGTTTATCTCAGCTGTCGGTTTTGCTGCTGTAGTTGGATGTTTGTTTCACTGTTTTGCTTCAGTTGCCAAAGCTGGTTTTACCTTGGTTCTGAAACACTAATATAATTTTAGAGACTGTATCTCTCAAAACATTAAATAATTCAATGGGTTTAGTGACTGAAGCTCCAAACATCTGCATTCCAACAATTTGCCGCCTTTAGAAATCCAATTGGTCATTCATTTTAAATTATTTGAATATACATATCTGCAAAGAAAGAAAAACAGAAGGTTATCTCATAAAGTACAAGACATACAAGCATATGAACACATATATACAGACTAGGACAGTTTTGCATTTCTTATTACCAATAGAAAAAATAGTTAAATAAAAAGTGGTGTTTCCATTATCTTGTACAAATTATATATGTGCTATATTTATGGTTTAAAATGCTCAGTATCAGGGAAAGTGTATTTAAATAGGTAAGTAGACATTGAAGTTAACACTCAGTGGTGACAGTCTGTTTCATGCTTATATACAATCATCAGGCCATCTCAACCATGGCCTGATGATTGCATATAAGCATGAAACAGGCTGTCACCACTGGATGTTGATTCCAGTGTCCACTTACATAAAGATTTCAACAATAAAACTTTGTTTTTATCAATTTTGGGTCTTTTTTCCATCATGGTATGTTCTTTTTGTGAAAATTTTGGGAGGTACCTAAATATGTATACACACAATCCATTAATTATAATATTATATAATATTACCAATCTGTTATTGTTACCAAAATCTCTTGGTCCCAAATGAATTAAAACAATAAATAAAACATAATTTCAAGTCAATACATTTTCTATTAATTTTTTTTATAATGTAAAATTGTATATTTCAATGGTTATAATGTTTTAAAGCAGTGTAAATTTGGCAATAACCCCAAGGTCAAATGTTTGAATTGGTAGGATTTACTTGGTAATTTTATATATGTATGTTTTAGCATAGAAAGAAAGAAAAGAATATAAAAGTCACA